TGATAACTGCCAGACGGCCTCGCCCCCCCCCCCCCCCCCCCTCCCCTTCCCCCCTCCCCCTCCCCTCTTCCCGGTCCCGCCCCCCCCCCCTCTGCCTCTGCCTTCCCCAGACTCCAGGACTGGCCCAGGTTCCTCCCCAACTCTCCAACTCTGCTGCGAGCTCTACTGGCCTCTGGTGGGCCACAACACAACTGTTACTAATGGAACAACCACAATGATTCCCTTGACAACGGTGGCAAAAAGGGCCGTAAAATGGGGCAAAACGCACTTAACAAATGTTTCACTTAGCAACATAAATTTTGGGCTCAATTGTGGCCATAAGTCGAGGCCTACCTCGAGCCATCCTTTTGACCCTCCATAAGGACACCTACCAAAGAAAGCAACATTCAAACCACAGCTGGTGCACGGTTTCCTCCTTCCCATTTAATCTTTTAATTATAATTACATCTTAAAAAAAATTAGCCAAAGGAGGCAGCTGGGAGGCACTTGGAAAACGATCCTTCGAAGGCAGCCGCGACTGGAAAAAAATAAATATTTAGGGCCGCCAAAAGCCGAGCCGATTAATTAAATCAGTTTAAACGTAGCTCTAATGAAGCGGTTGGCTTGTAAGGGGGGAAAGTGTTTATTTTGTGAATTCAAAAACCATCCAAAGGGCCTAAGAGGGAATTTCATTTTTTCCTTTTGGGGAAAGGGGGAGGTGGGGCTGTTCCCATTAATTGGTTTTTAATACAGGTGTTTACATGAGCTGCAGGCAGCAAGGCACAGCGCGCGTGTGAGTGGGAGTGTGTCTGTGTTTGTGGGAGGGTTTGTGTGTGAAATGACAGGCACTGCACCTCCTAATAGGTGTGAAACCCCTCCTGTGATTTCACACCTATTAGAAGCAAATACCTTTACTGTAATTGTCAGGAGTTGGATGGCAACAATTTCTTTCCTTTCTTTTGAAAAAGAGGAATTTTTTTTTTTTTGGCTGATGGCTTAAGGCCCCGACAGCTTCACCTGCTTAGCCCCGTCCCATTTCCTTCTCTGCTCTCTTTGACAGTGTCACACCGCTGTCATTATCCCTCTTTTTGTGGGTTGCCAAAGAAATAAGCCCCCAAGCTTCCATCAAGAAGCATTTGAAAACCTCCAGAAAGGAAAGCGGGGGGGGGGGGGGGAGAAAGAGAGGAGAGAGAGAGAGAGACCTGGGTAGGGTTTTTTCCCCCCCTTCAAAGAGGCTCGAGTGTGAATCTTAACTGTTATTTTTCCCATTAGGAAGCCCAACCTGAGCCATAAAAGAAATGGGGCACTCCATAATAACAGTACTTAGTTCATGCGCGGCACAGACTCACATAGATTGAAGGACGCGCGAGGAGGCACCACAAACACCGCAGCCTGTGAGTGGGTGCGTTGCTCTTTTTGCGTAGCCAGGAATTTTAGCATTTTCAAACTGCAAAGCTGGAGGCCATTAAGGTTGTTAAATCGATCAACGGGGCTTTTAAAGTGCGGTTCTCAACAGGGATGGTCTCCACACCCAGAGATCGCTTTTGAACTTACCTGTTTCTCTTTTTTTACTGACAAATTGTCATTTAACAAGCAAACTTGGATGTGGCTTCCTTGCTCGCTTCTGTTCTGACCGAGGCTTCCCAAGAGCAGGAAGCAAACTCCTTGTCCTCCCCCCCAAAAAACCCTTTTTATTAATTTGCTGGGAATTCTGCTTATTCACCTCCAGCAAAGGGAGGATTTACAGTCACAGACCTCATCTGGCTTGGAGAGCGGCCAGGCTGAGATCTGCAAAACGTGGCAATGAGTCTCCAAACCAATGAAGTGAACTCATTGTCTCCTGCAAACTCCACTCCCCTTTTGCTCCTCTTTTATTTCCTCTGGGAGGGGCCATT